TTCCTAAAACAAATTATAACAAATAGATTGGCAAACTTTAAAATATTTTCTATGGATGACAAAAAAGTCCAGTTGTCACCGTACAACAAAACTAAGATTGTTTCACAAAACGAGGACAATCGGGTATGTAATTGAAGTGGTGATTTGTGAGTACTTTGTTACAGATAAATGGCCCTTAAAATTTAACTCTGTTGCCAGCTTCATAACAGAGCATATGGTGAGCAGTGGAGTTGACAACCATGCTTAGAAGCAATGACAATAAATAATAACAACCGTACTTGACAACCTACTAGATATTTAAGGTCAGACGAGAAGTTCCTCAATATCTGTTTTGTATATCTTCTTAATGTATGAAAAATATTCTAAATCTTAATAACATTCTGATTTCTAAACCAGTTTCTAAACGTTTTTACAAAATGCAAGCACTTAAACATTTGAAATCGGAAAATTAGTTTTCTTCCCAAAAGGATTATATAAGGAAAACTACCTCTGGTATCTTGTAGAAATGCCAGGTAAGGTACCTCAATTTTTTGTGAGTAAACATGTTTAAGTAGCAATACTTCAATGAAAAAATCTTTGAAAAAAATATTTATTATTAAGGAACGTCTCGTCTGTCCTTAAAGTACAATGCAGTCACAATGTTGACAATTTGCTAATTAAAAACTTGAGACCATGTTTAAAATAAGTTTTTTTGCCCTCTCCTCACTCGTTGATAGGTTGGTAAAAATCTTTTAAAGAAAAATTTCAATATTCTTGTTGTTATAATAAAAAAGCTAGGGGAAAAGGCGTTAAAAATATTTTTTGCAGGATACAACATCGGGCCATTTTAAACCCAGACGGCCAGGATAGGGTAGACAAACAATTTAAAAGATGACCTAATTGATGTTTTTTGTAAAACCAACATTGGTTTTGAATCAAAAATTGAGAAAGGGAAGGCGAAAGAAAGATAAACAAATTCTTATAATTCATCTAACGTATCTAAAATTCTTATAATTAATCTAACATATCTACTTCCAGTATATATATCCAATATAATGTTGCAATTTGTCACCTCTTATACTTTCACTTCGGAAAAAAAGGCAAAATGAATTGTATTCTGATGTAAAAGCGGTAGGAAGGCAAAATTCCAGTCTCTTTTCTGAAACAATTAAGTTTTAAAAATTGAAATAAATATAAGAGAAATGGGAAATTGACAAGTTTTTAAAAAAAAAAAAAAATTGAGACCTTTATACAATCTATCTTTAAAAAATAAAATCAAAATTCATTTTAAATCCGAAACTACAAGTGGCTAATTTTTTATTATTGATTTTAAAATTTTCTTAAAAAAAAAAAAAAGAATTCAATAGTAATTGAACATAGTTGTAATTGTACATAGTAATAGGTCTGAGATAATGTTGTCGATTGGCTTTGATCTCCTCAAAGGTACTTTTAACTAATGTCCCGATGATTTTAAGAGGCTAAGTGTGATTTAAATGATTCTGGAAAAGAAGTCGATGACGTGAAAAGGTAACCGACAACAGATGACGCAGAGACATTTTTTCGAATGTAGAACTCGTATATTTCTAAGAAGGTGATTGATTGATTGATTTAAAAGTAAATATATGGTATTTCATTTTGTGTTCCTTGCTACAAATGTAACTCAGCAAACGGAGGCCATGTGTCTGCATAACATGCTTGAGTTTCTGTTCAATTTTGCAATGATACTTTCAGTAGTTAAAGCAAGTAAGTTACCCTTTTTAACTATAAATTTAGAAACTTGAATGGAAAAATAGAGTCGTAAAAGATCTTAAATTAATTGTTTTGATTTGTCAAAATTAGTAACAGATGTCTGAACAATGTATATTATATATAGAAATATAATTTTAAAATATATATACTAGTATCCCACAAAATTTATTATTTATTTATTATTGTTTTTTAATTAAAATTCAATAATTATTCAAGTAATTATATCTTTAGGTGGAATTCACTTTCGGCAGATAATAACAAGAGTCGACACAATAGAGACTTCTTTAGCTATATGGTCAGGATACTTCTCAAGCTTGACTCAATGCAGTGTCATGTGTTTGCATGAAAGTAGCTGCGTGTCTCTGTTGTACAGTTCTACGAACAATTCCTGTAAACTTTTCAATGTAATTTACAAAGCTCAAGAAAGCAATGGCGATGAACTTGTCAAATATTACATTCTGGATAGCGGAGGTTCCCGGTGGGGTACGTAGCATAACAAGTACAATAGTTTGACATTGAACATTGATTTCTACAAAACAAATTTTTAATCATGTTTACATTTAAGTGTTCTAAATCTGATCAGTTGTAAAATGACATGCTCTAATTTCAATTTTTAAACCGAGTAAGGTATCTGACAGATAAAGTATTGTTACAAGAAATTTCAAAAATCATGTTGAAAATCAGTATTTCGTAAGTTCCATGTTCGTCTTATGATTTTTATTTTTTTTTTTTGCAAAATTAGTTCGTTTTCCTGATTAATACATAAATAGTGCTCATGGTGAATGTAATTGTAGACAGATGGGAATGATTACTCCTTCTATGCCTCTGATTCCACCGATGTTTTATGCTTTGTACGACTGTATTTTTAGGAATCTTTGAGATTGATCACTGCTCGTTATTTTCACATTTTTCATATCAAGCCTTTCTCTGAATCAATGAGTTTTTTTTTTTAAATTTTGATCATAAATTGACATTTCTCACTTTTAAATCCTAAATTCTAAAATGCAAGTAATTTTTTGTCATATTACACCTTTTGAGGAAACTGAATTGATTGATTTACGTTGTGCAACATAACCAATTTTCAATCTCTATAGAAAGTATAAATGAATTATTAGCTGTAAATTTTAGAGATAATTTGACAATTTTCCACATTTTTTTTACTTGATACTGAAATGTAAAAGAGAACCTGATTCTGATCACCATTGTAAATGAATATAATTAATTTTGCATTTCGTTATCAAAGTGTTTTTCAAAGTCATTTTGTAACTAAATAGCCCAATCAATCAAAAAAAAAAAATAATCAGAAGCATAGCAAACACAGACCTCTAAAACATAAGAGGCGGGATGAGGTGCCATAAGGAAGTAAGCACCCCCTGCCGACCGATCACACCCGCCGTGTGCTCCTTGTTATGATTAGAAATTACGGAAAAAATCATTTGACTGTTCAGTGTGTAAATCATAGCCTAACAATTTTTAAAAGTGAAAAAGATTATCAGCATTTTACATAATGTTAGTTTATATTTGTTAACTAATCATTGACCTTAGAATTGCCAAAAAAAAAAAATAATAATAATAACTCTAAACAAAACAGTTGAAAAAAGTTGCAATCATCAAGTTTATTATATACCTTTGTTCTTGGGCTACTATTGATGTCAATATTTGGTAACACTCTTGTGAAGTTTATGCAATGCATGTGAAGAGTAATTTTCTGGTACAAGGCATTTTGAAAAGTTGTCCCGGGAAGAAGGATGAATTCGAAATGGCTGACGTTATTTTTAACTACATTTAGCTTCATCCTTTGCCAGGGGTTCCTTTAAATTATAGTGGTGAGGAAATTTTTCAAAATATTATGTCAGTTTTCAATATTTTTGATATTCTAAACAACCTAAATGAATCTGTATTGCCATATCAATATTGGATACCAAAACTTCATAAATATCCTGACAAAGATACATACCAGCCATTACCGGGTTCCAGTAAATGTTCTTCCAAGCTTCTTTCTTTACTCCTCACTGAGATGTTAACTGTAGTAAATTAAAGGAGAAACTTCAAGAGTACTGATTAACTATGTATTCGAGAAGTGGCGTTAATCAGATGTGGATACTAACAAATGCAAAGGAAATTTTAAACATTCGAATTCACAAATTTTCCAAAATCAAAAACATAAAAACTTACGACTTTTCAACTTTATAGAAACAACCATTCCCCATGATATATTAAAGTCCAAGCTTTCTGACATCATTGACGGTTGTTTTTTCAATAAAAATGAAGCTCATAAATAAACGTATCTTGTCACTGGTCATTTGCAAAATTACTTTTTTAAATATTCTGATTGTACTCACAAGTACATGTACTCTGAAGTCGATATTAAAAAGATGCTCGAGTTTCTGATTGACAAAATCTTTGTGGGTTTTGAAAACAAGGTCTTTCGACAATCCATGGGAATTCCCATGGTTACCAATTGCGCCCTGTTATAAGCATTTTTTTTGGTATTTATATGAAGCAGAAATTGTTCAGAATCTTTACATGAAAAGAAGAAAACACTTCTGTGGCCTTCAACTCGACATTTAGATGTATCGAAGACGTATTGTCAATCAAAATAGTTGTTTCCAATTATATGTTGACATAATATATCACAATCACAGTGAGTTTGAAATGAAAGATACCTCACAGGTTGATAAATCTGTTTCATATTAGGATTTTTTACTAAAAAAGATGTTAATTTTTATCTAATAAAGCTTTATGATAAACGTTATTACTTTAACTTTCCAATCGTCTTTCCTTACTCGTTTTACCATCAATTAAACGTCCCGAAACAATTCATCAGATCATGTGATCCATTGCTTTTAAAGGACACAGAAAGCTGTGATATTTTGTTTATCTGTACGTATATATGAGTAATAAAAATTCTTCAAAATAGCCACAGATATTTGTCGGATATTTAATTTTCCCAGACAGGGACTGCTCACATCAAAATTATGTCTAACGCAGTGTTGACTTATTGAAGCAATCACAAAATAGTTTTCCCAAATTTCTATTATCTTGTAATTTTTTAGTTTATTTTTGGGGTTTTTAAAGAAAGAAAAAGAGTTGAAGACAAGTGAATATGTATTTTTCAATGCCCCTTTGTTTCTTACTTCCAAATGGAGGACACAGAAATATAATTCATTAATTATCAATACTACATAATTATTCATTCACCTACAGTGTTGTATATTTGTCAATAATAAATAAAATTTAGATTGAAGGTAATTGTGTCTACATTATTGCAGTACCAAAGTCCTGTCAAGATCTTTTCAATTGTTCGGGAACGATGACGGATGGAGAATATTGGATTTATCCCAAAGCAACAAATGGACAAAGAGTAAAAATCTATTGTCACAACATGGGAACTGGCGCGTCTGAGTACATAACTCTAATGAATTCAAATTATTTTATCCAGCACGATCCCACGAACTGGCCAATTAAGTTTCAGCAATGCCAATCAAATTACCTTCTTCCCCTTAAAAAAGTGGATTTTATGAAAGTCGGAATTCAAATTCAGGTAACAAAGAATCGGTAACATAAGCAGAGTGAAAAGAATTATGAAATTCAGTTTTCAAATGTTAGATTTTTTCTTATTTCTTATTCATCGCCTCTTGTTTTGTTAAAATTTTAACTTTAAGATAAAATGTTTAAAAATATATTTCTTACAATGTATTTGTGATCTGGCAAAGTTCTAAATCATACAGATCAACCATCCAACCATAACATAACACAGTGTTGTGTGAATACTGTCATTATTGGATTACAATAAGTCAATTATTTATTCAATAAATCATCTGGGGAGATCCAGAAAAAAAGTGACAGCATAAGTTGCTTTAATAAAAATCCCTGAATATGACAAAGTGATATCCCCTGTTGCATAACTTTACAAAACAAAATGCAACATAAAATTTTCCCCGAAAACATCCAAAATAATATTTTAAGGTATACCTTTACTCAGATGACCAAAAATTCCACTGATAAGAACGAAAAACCACCTATTGCACATTGTACATCAATGATTCTTGTGTTAAATTTCAATTTCAAATGACTAGGTCAATGACCTACTTTTCATGCTAGTGGCTCCTGAGTATTTCTCGGGAAATACCTCAATTTCTCACACTATGACCAATTTTTTCTATACACACAAAATATTACAAGCAACTAAACTCTTTAAATAATGAAATATTATAGCAATTGAACAGTTGCTTCATATGAAGAAATGATTGGAGTTTGGGCCAGAAATGTGATAATTATAACAGTCCGAATTTCCTCTGTCATTTTATATATTTTTCCCCATTTTAAATCGAATATTACAAAAATCTGACTGATAAGAACTCTAAACTATCTATAGCCTCAGATTACTTTTGATGCCCTAATTCTCATGGTATTAATATTATATGGGATCAATGATCAAATTATTGTCTGGAATGGTTTTTGTACATATTTTTGAATTTCTTTATTTCGTAGCATTCAATTATTTGAAATAATTTATGAGCTTTAACACATATAATATTTGCAAAATTATGTTTAAAAATACATTTAAGGATATCCGATCCTCAGACAGGAAGGATAACTCCAAAAATTAATTTTTAATTTGAAATGAAAATGAAGCTTGAAAATGAAATTTTTTTATGCAACAATTTTCATTTTATTTATCTTTATAAGATTCAAGGTTTTTGGAAGTCTAATAAAAAGGTCTTTAAAAAGTTTAAATTTGTACCCTACAAAAGAGAAAAAAATGCAGTTTTAGAGAAATAAGATTTTCTTGAATCCAGACTAAGATACCAATGCCTACTAGCATGATATTAAATAAGAAGTGATTTGTGGTGTATTGCAATGCTAGAAAAAGGCTTTTACATTAAGTATTATGGAAAATATGACGGAAATAGAAGACAAAAAATACCAAATAAGTATTAAATTTATGACAATTTCTCTGAATGCCTGGATACCTATCTTTTTTAAACCTAAAATATATTTGTTGATCAATTTGCAATTAGAATATGCATTGTTGTTATTCCAATTCGCTTTTTCTGCAAAAATATTTAAGATTTAACAATTTTCCCTATATAATATGATTAACTTTAATATGTAACTTTAAAGAAATACTGTGGATAAATTTACATAACTTTGTGGATTCAGAGATACTTTTATGAGTATTTTTGATTACTTAACTGCTAATTTTATAAACCTGAGGATCGGACAACCTTAACCTTTACTTCGTAATTATTATTGAAAGAAATCAAAATTTTTGACAAAAATGAAAAATGAAAAATTTAGTCCGAATTTCCTCTGCATTACCATACATTGACTTTTGTACCTGTATATTTTCTTTAAATAATAAAATATTAAATTTTTAAATTGATTTCGATTTAAAACTTGCTTATTCTATCCATTTAGAACAATTTTTGATTTAACATATTATACTTTATAAAATTTCCTTTCTGTTATCTGAAACCACAGTAATCGTCATCCTTAATATATACAAAACAATATATGTATAAATAAGATCATTCTTTGAATGTTGATATAAAAATGACGGTCATAAAAATGACAGAAAATCAGACTTTCCTGCATTAACACAGATAAGAATAATTTTACTCCTTTATTTTATTGACCCTTCGGACTTTATAGGATTTATTTACATGAGCAAACAATATTTACATGTAAATCCTGATTAATGTTTCAAAATGATACCTTATTTCTTAAGAAAAAACTGTTTTTCTTATATATCTATTAACAATGTAACTAATTATCAAACCTGTTTTTAACGCCATTCGAAAGATTTCATAAAAAGTGAGCTCTAACATCAATTTAACTTACAGACCATAATACATAACTTTTCGACTCATTTTATTTAAATATTTCATTAAAAAATGAAATATTTAAAAAAATCTTTATTTTTAATGTGGCGATTAAGGTTGCAACCATAACACTGACGCAACCATTTTTTCCTGCAATAACAATCGAAAATTTTATTGATTAAGAAATCGTCTTAAATTAATCGAAAAGTAAACACATTTATGAAAACGAAAATTTACACATATTTTATGCAGAATATGGAAATCAACGGTAACGATTACAACTTTACCTTGTTGACTGGTTCCCCCACGATATCATATGGGGAGACTATGGATTGTAATGGCGAAAGTTTTCAAGACCCCTGTCCTCGTTTCTCACAGGCCGTCATCAACACCACAGGGACGGGGCTGATTGTGGATCCTACTGTAAGACACAAATTCCTAACTATTCTCTTTACAATCTAGACTGTGCAAAAAAAGGTTCGGATATCCTGTCAGGATAAAGAAATTGTAGTTATAATATACATGAAATAAGACTTTGCTAGTACATCAAAATCGATCTCCGAATACATAAAGAACGAGAAGACTGTAGCTCTACTGGTCTGTACGAATAACAAAAGAAAAGTAGCACTTGGATTTGAAGCTTTGCAACAGGCATAAACATAGAAAAATGAACCTCAGTGTAGTCTACTTGAGTTCCAATTTATATTGAAATAAGATCAACATTGTAGGAAGAGTAGCATTTTGAAAGTATTTCACAGAAATTTTTATTTCAGAAACAATGACATCACCGTTAATTGAAAATAAAACCAATGCACAAAATAATAAACCTTTAATTAACAAAGTCTCTCTTGTGTTCCATCTTATATTAAATCAAACCAAAACTGAGGGAGGAGTAGTGTTTTCAAGGAATTTCACAGAAACTTCTATTTGTAGAAACCATGACTGCATCTTTTATCAAAGAAAAAAACCCCAATGCATTGAATTATGTATCTTAGTGCCGTTTACCGATGTGCCAAGTTACAATGAAATCAGACTAAAATTGTAGGTGGAATAGCACTTTGAAACAAATGTTCACAGACAGGCAGATACGGACGGACGACGGACACCTTATCACCTAAGCTCTTCTGCTGAAAAAAGATCCAATACATAGAAACAGTCCTATATTGCTTAAGTAGTGTACATGTGAATCCAACCCAAACCTTTCATTTCCTCTTTTTTTGTTTTCTGTGTGAAAGTTTACCAACATATACTTGGAAATTATTTTGAAAAAGTATTGTTCCAGACAAAAAAATAGCCATCATGGTCGCTCAGACGGTAGATGTCTCATGGTATGCTCATTGCTTATAAAAAATATGTTGGTAGTTCATATTCCTATAATGTATAGCTGTGCACCCCCCCCCCCCCCCAACACTGACATCGATTCCTATGGGCCTGGCGCTAGCTCCGCGATCGGAAGGTCTTTGGTACTTAATATATTGCTGAAATGAAAAGAAAACATTGAAATCCAGCGATACAGTACTAGCTGATGAAGAATTCCTGTCTTTCAGTTGACATGGGGAGCAATACACGGATGGTCTCCAGAAATACGAAACCTTCAGCGATCTCAAGACAATGCCCAGATAACGTTTCACTGTGCAGGATGGTGTGGTAGATGTGGCCCCGTCTCCCAGTCGATACGTTTTCAACAATCTGACGAATTTAGTAAGATTTTCCTACATCCGTATAAATTGGTTATATATTGCAATACAATACTTATGATTTTCTAAATTTTGAGATCATAATATATATGTTATTCATTTTATTTTTGAAGCGTAAAAATATTAACTTACCACCGCAAGCTGCCAATTTTATTTATACAGCACAATTAATCAGAAAAGAAAACTAAGTTTATTCCTTAACGAACTTTTAATTAAACAGTATTTTTTCTTTCACTAATATTTCTATTTAGTTTCAGGTGCAGATGCCCAGGCTTTAATTTGTAATGCTTGAAATATTTCTGCTTTTTGTAAAAATCCTTTTAGATATGGAAAAAAGATAGAAGTAATGAACATACAAAGGACAACATTTTTTTTATTCTTCTTGAAAAAATGTTTTGTCGAAGGTTCAAATCATGTGTGACTTATAATTTAGTGTATTTTTGAGCATTTTAAAGAACACAAATCTACATGTAAAGTTGTAGTTTTCCATAGCATTTTTGAACTATTCATACCATTATTTACCTAATCTCTCTCTGTTGTAACCTTTACCAGTACCTTTTTTTGTTTAGCCAACACTTTAAGGGATCTATCTTACCAATTCTGAGTATCGCTTTTCTTCGAATATAAAATTGTTTTCTTTATATTTGCAAAATAAAATAAAATCTTAATCTAACTTCTATATTAGACAAAATATGATCTTTATATATTTTGGAAAATTTAAACAATCTTCTGAAAAAGGACACAAGTTGTTGTAAAAGTAAGATTTTTCGGATGTTTCTACCTTAATTACTGACAATTATTGAGACGGATAAAAGAAATGAGAACAAAAGCTGGCACTTTCTTTAATCATATTTATTCATCTTGAAGATAATGAAGTTGGTAACTTTTTAAAAAAATCTATAGTTTTCTTATTTGGAATGCATTTTGTCTTAAATAAAAAAAACGTATGCGTTGCGAACATTTGTGTAATCTGTATACTTTTTCTCCAACTATTTTCACCTAAAAGTACTTTAGATAAGTACAGTAAATCAAAATTTTCACTTAAGTTAATCAAAGTTCGTAATTAAGCCTAAAAGTGTCAAACGCTGTAATTTTTTTTTCGAATCCAAGCTACAGCATCCTGTTTTTCCTTTTCTTATTTTTATTTTACATTTTTTGAATTAATGTTGCTTTGTATGAATACAAAAATATGTCTAGTAATATGCCCATTTGATACCTATGGGAATTCCAACCGATCGTTCAAAGATCATTGGACTTTAATTAATCTTTGAAAAAGGTTGTTAAAATGTTGGAAACTGTACCTTTTAATGTTATTGATTTCGATTAAATTTTGTGATAGTCATTTTCCGTTCCTTGGGGTTTTTAAATGTCGACATCAGATTTACACCTTTTCGATTACTCCTGAAGTTTCCCCTTCACCTTCTGATTCACTGAGGACAATCATGAACCAATAATTCCAATCTGAATTTTATTTATTGATTCCCTGTGTATTGGTTGGACGAGAACAAAATTCAAGAAAAAGTTTACACATTGATTTTCCTGAATTTTTTTTTTTCGAATATGACAAAAAGCACACAACTGGTGTTACCGGTCGACCGGGGATGCTCAAAATCAATTCAGTGTATACATAATGTACTAAGAATCAGTATGAAAAAAAAAAAACGTCAGTTAGCATTTGACTTAATGATAAATTGTATTTGCTAACAAGGACATTATATCGCCCATAGACCTAACGAAATGATGACTTTCAACGAAACTGCTTATATAATTGCTTCATCAACTTGTTTGTGAATAATCGATTTAGAAATTGTTCATGCGTAGAATATGCTCGGGCTTGTCAAATAAACTAATTGATATAAAATCCAAATGCAGGTGACAAAGGTACATTGCTGCATAAGTAAGGGAACTTGACGATTGAAAAGTGAAAGTCATCATGTTTATCATGAAGCTTTGAATTTAGATAACCATTAACATCTTTTAATTGACAATACAAAGATAAAAGTCCATATATGAAACAGAATGTCGTCAAGACTGTATGACGCAGCAAGTGTTTTATTCTCTATGTACGTTTACCGGGATATATCTGCTTCAAATACGAATAGACAAATATATTGGTTGTTAATTGAGAATACGTCGTCAATATACGAAAATGGGTTGTCCGTTAGAGTTCGTGGACAGGAGTGAGTATCTAAAAATTAAAAAAAAGTTGTGAACATTGACTATTTACCAAATTTAATTCTTCGTGTAACCTTTACGAAATTGAAAATATCGTAAAATTTTTTTTAAACATGTTTAATTAAGGATTATGGCTTCATAACTAAGACTTGGATATTTTACCATAGAGACCAAATTTTAATAAAAAATTATTTAAAAATAATTATCACTTTATCAGTTTATGAATTTCAAAATTATTACAATAATCTGATAGTTCTTTCGTTTAAGGCGTAAAGTTTTTCTGTATTTTCACGGTAAGATTTTGCACAGGATTCTGTGTATGAATACAAAAACCACATAGAGCGCATTGTTAAAAATCAGATTGTTGGAAACTTCTCCAAAAAGCACATCTTGTTTTTACGATGTCAACTTCAGAGTACTTGTATGTGCAATCAGAATGTGTTTTAACAAAATAATTTTGCTAATGACCAAAGACCAGGTAATTTAATTTACGAGTTCCATTTTAATTGAAAAAGCAGCTGTCAATGATATAAAAAAGCCTGGACTTTAGTTTATCGTGGGGAATGGTTGTATATAAAGTTGAAAAGTCATAAGTTTTTAAGCTGTTGATTTTGGTAAAATTTTGCGATTTCAAATTGTCCAAAAGTTCTTTGGAATTTTTGAGTATCCACATCTGATTCATACCACTTCTTGAATATATTGTTGCACAGTACTCTTGAAGTTTTTCCTTCACTACTGTCAATATCTTAGTGAGGAGTATCGAAAGAGGCTTGGTTGAAAATTTTACTGGAACCCGTAATGTATCTTTGTTTGTAAGGATTCTTATGAAGTTTCGGAATCCAATATATATATAGGGTAGTTCAATTTCATTTTGGCTCTGTGGAATATTAAAAATATTCAAAACTTACATAAGATTTTGAAGAATTTCTTCCTGAGAAAGTATGAGTATAAGTAAGATTACCACTTGTAGAATTAAATCCAAGTTCTTCTAAAATACAATTTATATAATGTGCCTTACAAACGAAGACAATGTTGTTACCTGCTTTGTCGGCAGGGACCAGTACGTACTGATTATGACTGTAATCTATCTAATTCTTTTTCACTTCTGGATTATTAAACACAGAACGATAAATGGTTTTCATATTACCTCTCAATCTTTTAATACGCGACTTTAACATGGATCTGATACATTTAATCCATTCTGACAAAGTGTAAACGTCTTCTTTTTCATATCTGGCCCATCGTCTGGCGTAATTTTCAACAGAATCCATAATTATGAAATTCCGACGCCAGTTGAAGGACCGGGGTTCCCTATATTTAGGACCTTTTATAATGCTTAACTAAAAATTCATGTATACGATTTTTTTAACAAGTGAAAACATTTCATAACAGGTATCGCTTAATTTTTTTCTATTATAATGTCTTGCCTTAAACGAATCACAAGACCCTTTATATCTAAAGACAGAAGTATTCATATTTATATACTTCTACTAATGGTACCATTTAAATTGAACTTTATGCTGGTAAAAGTAAATAAATAAATACCTTGACGAAAACCTTGAAATTTTCTGTCAGTAACTGGTACCTGGCAAATGCCTTTTGATGACAATCAAGTAACATGCACACAACCTTGCAACTAGAATAAATATGATTCACATCATTCAAAAAAATATTAGCAAAAGCATTACCATACACCAACTTTGGGACTTTCCAATTTTTCTACATTTCGATATTAACCTAATAATGCAATAAAAACATATTTCTTGATGCAATGTTTTTATTTTCAATGTTTGGCATCATTGCGATTATTAACTATTGTGAATTGAAATTGTGACTTTTGAAATAATTTTTAAAAATATGAATTAAAATTTACAAAAAAAAAATTACTGTAGCAAAAGAAAAGGTAATAATTATTATTAATTTACAAACTCCCCTAAAAAACAAATCAATGATGCAAATATAGATTTGTCCATCATGAAATCACATATCGCTTCTGTTTTGTCATCAACAAAATTCTGCAAGTGCACCTAAGTAACCTGAAATTGATGTTATAACAATGTTGGAGTCCTTCATTGATTGATTAATTGTATATTGTTTAACGTCCCACTCGAGAATTTTTCACTCATATGGAGACGTCACCATTTTCCGGTAAAGGACTTCAAATTCAGACCTATACTCGGTACTCAGAGCCATTGAGCAGTGAGGAATCTTTATCGTGCCAACGCCTACCATGACACGGGACCTACTTTTTTAAGGTCATATCCGAAAGACCCGTGACTTTCACCTCTAGTGCCGAGCGCTTGGCGAAGGAACAGTTACTACCTATGTTCGTCTTAGGTATGACGCGGCGTCGCGAACGAGAATCGAACTATAGATTTTTTTTTGGTTATAGCTCAACATTTCCTAAGCTGAATAAAACCCCTTACCAGCTCTCATCCACCTTATACCCATACATACCTTTCTAAGGAAAAAAAATCTTCAAAATCACTTGTCTTTTATATATTTTTAATATTTCAATAAACCATAACAGATTTGAATAACCATATCTATATTGGAATCCAAAACGTCATAAAAATTTTCACAAAGTTACTAGCGGGTTCGTAAATGTTCTACCAAGCCTCTTTCTTTACTCCTTACTAAAATATAACAGTAGTGAAGGAGAAACTTCAAGAGTACTGTGCAGCAATATATTCAAGAAGTGGTGTAAATCGGATGTGGATATATTAAAAATCCAGGAAAATTTTGGAAAAATTGAAATCATAAAATTTTACCAAAATCAACAGCAATAAAACTTTTGACTTTTCATCTTTATTTACAACCATTCCCACGATAAATCAAAGTCAAGGCTTTTTGATATCATTGACAGCTGCTTTTTCAATACAAATGAACCTCGTACATTTACACACCTTGTTATTGATTTTTTACAAAATTATTTTGTTAAAAACATTCAGATTGTACATACATGTACTCTGAAGTTGATATAGAAAAATGCTTCTGGTCAACCATATCTGAGTGGTTTTTGAAGACCAGATCTTCCAACAATCTATCGGAATTCCCATGGGTACTAAATGTGCCGTTATTAACGGACCTATTTTTGTATTCGTATGACGCTGAATT